TGAAAGACATTAAGAGCATAAAACACATTATAAACATTAAAAAGCAAAGAAAATAAAACATGAATAACACAGGTACATGAATACAAGTTACAGTGCAGTGTAAGATGTGAATAGTTCAAACGTAAGTAACTTGTTGGGTACTGAAGCTGAGTTGAAGAGTTCTTCACACTGTATGAACTGTTGAGATCATCTAGAATGAGTCGATCGACAGACAAAAACGTTTTTGATCAGCAATTAAGCGTTAAAGTAATTTTGATTGAATTGTCAAACACACTTGGAAAGAGAAGGGTGAGCTGGGAAAAATTCCTTGAATTTATCAAGCTTCTTTATCAAGCTAACTCCCACATATTTTCTTCAAGTGGAATGTAGGGTGTAGAAATGATTGGCATCCAGCAATGAGGTTGCAGCAACCTCAAGGAATTTTTCATGTCATAAAGATAACTTTTGGGTTTCGAAAGTCATTGCATAACTTGGAAAACCGGCAGCATTCTCTAAAATCTTCTAGAGTTTTCTGCTTATCAGCAAATGCAGACTTTTAAAGCATCAACCAAGACAAAAGGTGGTCTGACATGGAGTACCTTTGAGGATGGTCATGTTGATGTAGGTGCGGATCTCAGGCTTGTGGCTGAGCTGTGTGTCTGGGGGAGGAAGGTCTCCGCTGCCCTCTGGTGGCTCCAGGTGATCACAGCAGCGTCTGCAGGGGACAGGAGAAGAACCTGGGGGGGGCACCAGGGCCCCGAGGGAGGCGAGGGACAGAAGGACGAGGACACCCAGCATATCTGCGCCTAGTAAGAACAGAGAAGGGTATCAGATGACAACTGTACGATTAAACTTTAATGGTCAGATCAAGTCTGAAATTGGGCTTGCATCACAGCAGCTCCATGTGTAACATCAACATAGACAAATATCAAGACACAATACATGAAAAACAAACAACAAACATTTAACATAACAGCACGATCAGTGAGAGAAAACAAGCTCAAAGAGTCTTTAGCGTATTTACTGTGAGGGTTGACTGGAGCACAAAGAATGCTTCAGTCTCACTTATTGAATCGAGGGACCCTGTATCTCCGATTAGATCAGGGGTCTCAAACTCAAGGCTCGGGGGCCAAATCCGGCCCGCGACTTCATTTTATTTGGGCCCGCAAGAGCTTGCAAAGAATATAATACGTTTATTATACGGTTACAGGCCGATTTACAGAAGCACGTTGCCCATAAACTACATGTCCCACAATGCTTCTAGTTTTGTGACATGCGCACTGAAGAGACTTCTGCTTTCAGACTTAGTTAATTACTGAGTTATTATCCTATCCGATAATAATCCAATTCAGAGGCAATAATGTAATATAATACATTATTTTATATATTATATATTGATATAGTTACAACGGGCCTTTGAGTGCAACCTTTATGCGAATGTGGCCCGCGATGAAATTTAGTTTGACACCCCTGGATTAGATGGTAGTTCATATTCACTGTTCAGAACGTGACTGGAAGAGCCACAGCGTTTTCGACTAATCAGCTATAAATTAATCTACTTATTTATATAAATAGTTATCACCACAATAAACCATATTTAATTTTCTATTGACAGGTATAGACTTCTTGCACTATTTTTTATTGTATTTTATTATATATGTTGCATTGTTGGAGGAGCTCAGGTCAGAACAATTTCATTGCCATTTCTACACTGTAGCTTTGTGCATATGACAATAAAACCTTTAAATCTTGAATCTTCTCCCGGCGAATGTTGGGGATTTACTTGACCTATTGCGATCTGAGTCAGCGCTAACTTGACAATGTCAACGAACAATAGCATTGTGATGTTTAGCAGGTATATTGTTAACCATGTCTACGGTCTTAGTCTAAACCAGGCACAAACTAGAGCTGAGGTATTTGGACATCAACAAAGTATTGGACGGATTAACATTTGAATATCCTCTCTATAAACAGCAAGTAGTCTGTAGGCAGCAGGATTTTTGGCATCGGAAGCGTTCTGGATTCATTTTGTTTGGCAAGATGTATCGACCAATCAATTCTAAGACAGCTCTGGCTGAATACGGATAAACATTTGGTGTGGAGTGCAAAAGTGGTTGAAAGCATTGACCGAAGTGCTTTGTTGGAACTTGTTAGCTATTGTTTGTTGAAGCTTTTGACTATCTTGTAAAATAGCTCCTTGCACTCCATTCTAGCATCTGAGGTCGCTGATCTGACTGTAAACATCTGTTCTCCTCTTAGGTGATTTTAACATTCATGTTGATGACCCGACCTGCAAATATGCCTCTGAATTTAAGGAAACCTTTCACTGCTGCAACTTCTCTCAACACATCAACTTCCCAACACACAGCCGTGGTCACATCCTGGACTTGGTCTGCTCCACTGGTCTCACCATCCATCATCTGTCCAGCCTCAATCTCCACATCTCTGATCACCAGGGCCCAGGAGTTCAAAACTTTTAATCCCTATCTGGTCGGATCAGATTTATCTTTTGGGGAGTTCAAAACCAAAAAACAGGATTAGGATCACTTTGATATCCGATCAGATCAGGAAATCCAATCCAAGCTTTAATCTGGATCAAATCTTCAAAACGGGTAGTTCAAACCGACAACACAGGATTGGGATCAGTTTGATCCCAAAAAACTGGATTATCCTGATCCCACCAGAGGGGTGGATTTCCAGTGGATTACCAGAGCAAAATGTACTGTACAATTTATTTTAAAATATGTTTCAATGTAAATTAGATGGCAAAGTTTGTTAACTGAAATAATACACAATTATTAGCCTTCATGGGACATACATTTTATTTTTTCCATTTGTTGCTCACATTTGTGGTGGCCTATTTTGTTTTCAACCAAATGTCGATGACATAAATGTTTATGCTCATAAAAGTATCACAGCAAAGATTGTCAATCACAAATGTAATTTAGATTAAAGTAAAAATATCTTCAACAAAAAAAAAGTCCATCATCTGTCATCACCTTTCAAATAAAAAATTATAATTAGACATTATAGATGTCTCTGCAATGTGGTCTCTTGTCTTCCTTGTAGTATTTTTCATATCTACTAGATGGCGCTCGGTAGGATTAAAGCACTGATATTCAGGATCTAGACATCTTGAAAAGTCGTAATCTGGATCAGGCTGATCCTATCCTTAATTGCTTTGAACTCCAGGGACAAAATTTGGCGGACTTGTCTGATCCTGGATCACAAAAAATGGGATTTCAAAATCTGATCGGATCTGATTGAGATTAAAAGTTTTGAACTCTTGGGCCCTGGGCCCAGGAGTTCAAAACTTTTAATCTCAATCTGGTCGGATCAGATTTATCTTTTGGGGAGTTCAAAACCAAAAAACAGGATTAGGATCACTTTGATATCCGATCAGATCAGGAAATCCAATCCAAGCTTTAATCTGGATCAAATCTTCAAAACGGGTAGTTCAAACCGACAACACAGGATTGGGATCAATTTGATCCCAAAAGACTGGATTATCCTGATCCCACCAGAGGAGTGGATTTCCAGTGGATTACCAGAGCAAAATGTACTGTACAATTTATTTTAAAATATGTTTCAATGTAAATAAGATGGCAAAGTTTGTTAACTGAAATAATACACAATTTTTAGCCTTCATGGAAAATACATTTTATTTTTCCATTTTTTGCTCACGTTTGTGGTGGACTATTTTGTTTTCAACCAAATGTTGATGACATAAATGTTTATGCTCATGAAAGTATCACAACAAAGATTGTCAATCACAAATGTAATTTAGATTAAATTAAAAATATCTTCAACAAAAAAAAGTCCATCATCTGTCATCACCTTTCAAAAGTAATTGCAGACAATAGCATCTCACCTTGCACCACCACTCAGTCTCTCATTTAGAGGGAAATCCATAGGTGGGCCTAGATCATCAGCAGGTGCGAGGGGCTCTGGGGGATCATCGATGTCAGAGAGGGGGACTCTGCGATGGACAGCGATATTGTGTAGCACAATACAAGCCAGTATTATTTGGCATGCTCCTTGGGGTTCCACTCTCAGATAGTTGAGGCATGCAAAACGCCTCTTCAGTACTCCATTCAAGCGCTCAATGGCACACATTGTTCTTCCATGGGCATTGTTGTAGCGCATCTGTGAAGGAGTGTTGGCCGTGGGAAAAGGTGTCATCACCCATGGTAGGAGTGGGTAGGCACTATCGGCTAATATAACTCCATCCGGCCTGTTGGTTTGGAATTCAGTGAACAACCGGCTCTCTCTGAAGATACGTGCATCGTGGACTGAGCCAGGCCATCTCACAACACAGTTGGTGATGGCAAGGTCAGCATCTCCCACAAGTTGCACATTGATGCTGTGCCTCCCTTTCCTGTTGACATATTCCCACTCCCTCTGGCGAGGTGCTTGAATATGTACATGGGTGCAGTCGATCACCCCAATGGTGTTGGGCATGTCTCCCAGAAGAAAAAAGTTCTGCTTCACTTTGGCAATCTGGCCATCAGTGGGAAAAGTCACAAAGTGATCCAGCAGGCGAGCCAGTGCATCAGACACAGCTGTCACCACTTCACCCACTGTTGTCCTGTGGACTCCCATGCTGTCAGCTATGACCTCATAGAATGTTCCACATGCGTAAAAGCGCAGGGCAATGAGGACCTGTTCCTCTACAGTCAGAGCATGACTCCGCAAGGTTCTGCACTGCAGTTGTGGCCTGACCAGATCAGCAATGTAGTTGATGTCATCAAGTCCAAATCGAAAACGATTGTACAGTTCTTCTGTTGTGTACTGTTGGAGAGGTTTGGGGCACTCGGTGTGGACCCTTTGGCGGTAACCTCTCCTTCCAGCATGGAAGATGTGAACAATCCCTGCCATGACTGTGTTCTGACTGTTGTTTCAGTCAGTAGGCCTACATCAGTCTCTGAATAACAACTAATTGCAAATACACACCTGGAATGAATGTCCAGATTGGTTAGGGCCTGTGGTTAATTATGTAATTAATAGCAAGGCCAGACCTATCAAACTAATTGCTGACCTGACCAAACCATTGAGTTGGAAAGATGGACAAAAAGGGGCCTAATTTTACATCTGCTGAGACCCATGCACTGCTGCAGGGTGTAAGGAACAATTATGACTCCATAGTTGGTAGCTTTAACAGAGAGGGTGGAGCGACTAAAGTAAAGAGCGGAATATGGATGGAAGTTACAGACAATGTGAATGCCACAGGATCTGGACACAAGAGGACGGTGGACCAAGTGAGGTTGAGGTGGAAGAATTTGAAGCAGCAAGCTACCAAAGATCACAGCCAGGCTAAAAACCCACAGACGGGTAACAAACCACATAAAAGGGGACAATACACAGATGTGGTACTTGATATCATTGGTGGTCAGCAGTCACAATCTTTACATGGAATACCAAACGTTGTACTGGATGGTGAGTCGCAGGTATGTGTGATTTTATCCTTGTTCCTATAGAACTACAATTATTATCTTGTATAATTGTTATTTTCATAGTACTACAATGGCTATATGTCTTACATAGCATCCTAGTACTACAATTGTCCAGGTTGCATGCTTGTGATCCTCTTATTAAGGGGTATAAAGTATATTGATAAACTTTCATTTCAGGTCGTCAATGCACCTGATGTGACACACACCATTGAAGATGAGGTCCTCCTGACCCATGTGGATCCAGAAGCTGGACCTTCAGCCAGGCCTGATAACACACTGCAAGAGCCACCTCTAAAGAGAAAATGCAAGCGCACCAGAAAACCAGAGCAGAGGGATGATGCCTACGAGACTCTGCTGAGCCGTGAAACGGAGAGGGCAGAGATGCATATCCGTCAGGCCGAAGAACAAATACAGCTGTACCGGCTTCAGCAAACTGAAACCTCACTGAGAATTCAGCTCCTCAAAGCACGCCTGGATGATCCAGCTGCCTTTGAATGAATGCTTTATTGTTGTTACCCTAGTGGGAGTATTTTTTTTTATTACAATTTCATTATGATTTGATGTCCTTTATGTATTTACAAATATAATTAAACATTATAGATGTCTGCAATGTGGTCTCTTGTCTTCCTTGTATTATTTTTCATGTTCACTAGGTAGGATTAAAGCACTGATATTCAGGATCTAGTCATCTTGAAAAGTCGTTATCTGGATCAGGCTGATCCTATCCTGAATTGCTTTGAACTCCAGGGACAAAATCTGTCCGCCTTGTCTGATCCTGGATCACAAAAAATGGGATTTCAAAATCTGATCGGATCTGAAATAGGATCACCCTGATCCAGAATCCTCACTCAACATCACTGACACTGCACTCTCCTGGCTGAAATCCTACCTCACCGACAGACATCAGTTTATCAACATCAACAACTGCACTTCCTCCACTGCTCTTCTGTCCTAAGGCGTCCCCCAGGGTTCGGTGCTTGGCCCCCTCCTCTTCATCCTCTACATGCTCCCCCTTGGCAAAATAATTTGTCGCCACAACCTTCAATTTCACTGCTACGCCGATGACATCCAACTTTATATCTCAACAAAAACCATCACCCCCACAACACACTCCACTCTCACCAACTGTCTCTCAGAAATAAAAGCATGGATGCAAACAAACTATCTCCAACTGAACAGTGCCAAATCAGACATCATCATCATCGGCCCCCCATCCCGTATCAAAGACATCCAGAATTTCAACTTCACCATTGACAGCCACACTCTATCTCCCCCCTCACATCCGCAACCTCTGCCTACTGCAATAGCATCCTCTACGTCTATGGCATACCATCCAACCTCCTCAATAAACTCCAACATATCCAGAACTCTGCTGCCCGCCTCCACACCCGCTCCCGAGACCACATCACTCCCGTCCTCCAGAACCTCCACTGGCTCCCCGTCCGTCAAAGAATCGACTTCAAAGTCCTCCTGATTACTTACAAAGCCCTCAACAATCAGGCCCCCCCCTACCTCACAGACCTGCTGCACCACCACACCCCTTCCCGCTGCCTCCGCTCATCAGAAGCCCACCTCCTATCCATCCCCACCCACATCAATCACCGGACCTGGGGGGACAGAGCCTTCTCCGTCGCTGCCCCCTCCCTCTGGAACTCACTCCCACAACCCATCAGAGACTGCACTGACCTCACCACCTTCAAAATACTCACCTCTTCAATCTGGCTTTTAATGTGTGATTGTTTTTGTATTATTTGACTTTAACTTGAACTATATTTTTATTTGTTGTTCCTTTATTTTATTTTATTTTCTCTTCACTATATCTGTAAAGCGTCTTTGAGCACCTGTAAAAGCGCTAACAAATTAAATCTATTATTATTATTATTAAACAATAGGCAGTGCGCTGAAATTTATTTATATCAGCTAGAACCCTCTCCCCCTTTCTCCCAGTGGCTAAGGGAAGGTCATAAGGTAGGCACCATCTTCTGGAAACCATGAATGCCTGAAAAAAACTTCCCAGCAACCAATCCAACGCTGTTTGCCAGGAGTCAGACGAGATATCTGGAATGTAGTTTGATGTGCTTTATGGAAACATGGCTGCACCACGATATATCTGACAACAACCTTTCCATCGATGGCTTCAGGACTGTTCGGGCAAAGCTTGCATCAAATACTTTTCCATCAAAATCGTTACATCAACAACGCTTCCATCAACAACGCTTCCATCAAGGTTTCCATCAACTTTCCTAACAACGTTTCAAGGTTTCCATCAACGTTTTTCTGTTGTTGTATTCCAATATTGTGCAACTGTCAAAAACCTAGATTCCCCCTGTGGTTAATAAAGTATGTTGATCGATTGATTGGTCAAATAGTTGATGAGCTATTTCAGTATGCACCTAAGTGGTAGACTGACCCACCAATGAAAAGCGCCATCTGATGATCAAAACTGCTAGAATTTCAAAAAATGACACAATTATAAGGCAGATAAAGTGTTTGAGCTAAAACAGAAAATTGCAGAATTCTTAAAGGCTTTTAGGGGTCTTGGTGAAGAAAGTGTTAAAAAGTTTAAAGGTCTGCATATTTGTAAAATGAGGCAAAACCATGGGGATTCCCAAAAGCAACAAAACGGTGTTCAATTAGAGAGGAAGGAATTAGAGCAGGATGAGATAAAGGCCTGTTGGGGATTTGCTTCTATCTTTTTATGAACCACTCATCTCATTTTGTTTAATTGTGGATTAAACACAACTTCAATATTTAATTCACCAATTGGGATTCATTCCGACTTTTGCCTTTTAATTATGTTAAATGTTTCTGAAATAAGAGGAAAACATACATCATGAGTTCACACAAGAAAATGGGGAAAACCACCAGAAGCAAAGACGATTCAATTGAATTTAAGAAACATATGTACAAGACGTTGTTCAGCAGCTTCTCAGGAAATAAGACCATTATGTGTCCTGGATGTCACTCCCAGAGCAGCGGAAAGAGAAAGAGGAATCTTCAACCCTGAGCCAAAGAAAGCATGTATCACCCCAAAGAAAAGAAACATTGTGGAAAAACTAATAAAGTGAAGCATTTTTGTAATTATGAGTTGGCCATGCTTTCACAGTGGCATTTCAATGGCTGCTAAAATGAAAATCCATGGAGGGTTTCTGCACTCACTCACCCACAGAGAATGTTCCCTCACTAATGCACTTCTCATACAAATCCCCAAAGTAAAGAAAATGTCAAAATAATGGAGCGATCATCCACGGACCATAAATCACCTGAAAGATTACCCCGCAGGCAGCCCATAATGTATCCCCAATTAGCTCAGAAAAGGTCGAAGGCTTATTTTATCCAGAGAAAGTCAGTGGAGTGGGTTTTTTTTATACAGAGAGCCAAGCTGAGTAGTTTTGAATGGAAAAGCAATGGCTGTTTGCCAGTGATCAGCCTGTAACTGGAACAGTGTGTCCTGCTGTGTTTATACAGGACAGCTGTATCCATACTGCCTGATTGTTGCATCCTCCATACAGGGGTGCACAACTCAGGAAAATACCACAAAACAGATACTCTAAACGTTAGGAAACGCTGTGACTGTTGCAGCATCGCTTTGATCAACAGACAACACAACTTGGACCAATTATATTCCCAGTGGTATTCTGAAACTGGACCATTTTGTGGTCTTTACACAGTTTATTAGTTACATATGTACACTCAGATACAGTCCAAATACTTTATTCTTCTGAAGGTTTTTTGAAACTGTTTGAAAAATGTTGATAATTTGGAGGATGGAGGAAATCAAATGTCTACAAAAAGACCAGTAAAGACCACTGACAGACACAGAAACAACTACAAAAAACGATTATATGGATATACAAAAGACTACAAGGACAATACAATGACTACTTGGAGGTGCGAAATGCCCAGAAAGATTTTGATCTCGACAAGAGATCAGGCCAATGCAAAACAAGTTCCACGGAGACACAAAAAAGAGCCACAAAACAGCTACATCTAAGTGACACAAAACAAACTAGACCCTGCAAAATGGCTTAGGCAGAATGGTTAGTTAAAATGACTACAAAGAAACACAAAATAACTTCTAATAAAGGCTAAAAAGAGACACTACCACAAAGAGATGCAACATACATGACCATAAGAATATGCAATATCTTTACAAAGAGACACAAGATGACTATTGTATTGTACAAGTGCAAAAAGACACACACGGATGTAAAGCAACATAACATAGCTTCGTTGTTTGTTTGTGTATTTTGCAGTCTCTCACAGGCAATTTGCTGCCCTAGCCAGGCAAGATTTTAGCTGGCGCCCCTTCCCCCCCAAAATGCAGACACTCACCATGACTCACGTATGCATGCACGTGCACGGTTGTGGCATGACCACCAAAACAGAAAGATATGGACACAAGATGTGTGCAAATGTATTTATATCCTATCCATTTGCACATGATTTAAGTGGGGGGTGGACCTAACCTCCTCTAGGGGGGTCTGGGGGCATGCTCCCCAGGGAAGATTTTTTTTGTTTAATATTGAAGTTGAAAGCATCAATCTGGTGCACTTTGAGAGCAACATTAATGCCCCGGCCACACGAGGACGAAAACGGTCGTTTGCGTTACTGTTTAGTGTCATATAGACCGTTAGGCCACACGAGGATGACCGAATACGGCACTAAACGACTGCGTAAACGATAACGGGTCCCAAGGTGGATAGAACGGCATACGCAACGCTCTGGGGGGTCCAACGGCTCCGTGTGTACGCCCTATACGATAATTTTCTGATAATGATGAGGCAATAGCCCCGCCTCTCCCCACCTCTGCTGCTCACCCCCGCGTCAAAGTAAACTGCACACTGAATTCAGATTATTTATCTTTCTCTCGATATGGACATAAAAGCGAGTGAAGTCTAATCTGACAGGACGGAGACACGCAGCTCTGCTCACCTGCAGCTCCTCCCGCTGTGATGCGGCGGTGAACGGAGTAAAACACACACTTCAAGTCCGATCATCACCCTTAGCTATTTTAATTACCTCTCAAACTACCTAAACTAGATATAAATATGTTTATTTTTACTGTCGGCCGGGTCACTCATTACTGGATCAGCTGCTGCATGAAACAGACACTGGCGCTGTCCGAAGAGAGGGAGGAAAAAGAGAGGCTCCGTGTATTTTATTATTATAATATATAGATTAGTTATTCATTTGTTTTAAAGCTCAATAAATAACAAAGAAGACCTTTGACCGGCACTTTTATAATTTTGTCGGAAGATTTAAACTTTAATACACGTTGACTGGCGAAAAACTCTGCCCGGTTCCCTCGGTCCCCACCGCGGAGAATAAACAGAAGGGCAACCATGACAACCATGCTTCTTCGCCGCTTTTGTGGAGGAAGTTACAGCGCCACGTACAGGCTCCTGCATATGTACTGCAGCTTCTCCAGCGGTTGGAGCTAAACGGAGCGGTCTCGTGTGGGCAGACACTATCCAGATAACTATTGCGTGTGGACG